AATCCATAGAAGTATAAGCTTTTCAAAACTGGACAAAATTCAACTCCATACAGTATCAGTCACACTATTTATTTATGTTAACATAATGTATAATACATTATACTGCACAAAAATGTATTGTTGCCCTTGTGTAAAAACAGAGTATTGGGTCTATATTATTACATACTAGCTAATCTGTGTACCCTGCACTGGAGATAGGGACTAGAAATATTTATATACTAGGATATACAAGATGCTATGATATATGCTATAATATGATGCTAAAATACATTAAATCAGACACGCCACTCTAATCTGATATTCCATTATTGCTCAGTTGAACTGTCAAATACATAATTCTATATGATTCTGAGACTTTTGTAAATTATTTATGCATTGCATGGGCCACTCACAGTGCCCTATGCAGTGCTTATGGAAGGTTTTATCAAGATTGTCTCACTCAGAGGATGTAAGGAAGACATATGGCATGCATATGCTTTGATCATTATAGTATGATTACATTATGCTTCTCTTTGGCTTTGCTGCTGTTGCTCTCTTCACTGACCTGTAAGGCAAACACAAAATACAAAAAGTAAGGATGTTATGTGGTGAGGCCATTTAATCTTGTCAAGGCATATTGTCAATGTAATGAGACATTTCAGTGCATGGCTGTTGTGAGTTTACCTGCAGTTCCCGTATTCACATCAGTGTAAATAATACTCTTATGTGGTTTATGATGCTTCCCTGCTGAGATAATCAGATGTGTTAATAGGAAAATTGTACTTAGTAGTCAGTATAATCTTTTAATGATATAAGTTTGCATATGGTAGAATGCTGCATGTAATCATTTGTGTGTAGAAGTATATAGTTGGTGGCATATTGAAAGAATGTCTCATCCTAGGAGGTCTGTAACATTCTAGGGTGTTCACCCCCACCTCCTAGGAGCATGAGAGAGGTCGTACCTTGTCTTATTGTTTTACGGTAGGATTAACGTAGCTATGTCAGTTTTAGTTTAAGTGCTGTTTTACATATAGATGAACTGGGCAGTTTCTCAGTGCGAGCCTCAGTGCTGGAGCTGCCCTTGCTAGCAAGAAGTTCTGTGTGTTTCTCTTCTCTGAGTCTTTACTGAAGAAGTGTTTTAGAGTATATTTCTTAACAAGATGAATGAGCAAAAGAAAATAATTAATGTGTATTTCAGTGCTGGAGGTGAAAACCTTTCTTAACTAGATTTTTAAATGTATTTTAATTTTTTTTTGTAATTTTAAATTGCACATGTTAGATACTCACTCTCCATCCCAAAGTCTTTAACCTCTATAAGAGAGTATGTGGCTTCAGGTGATTCATCTTCCTCTGAAATGTAATTTTTTTTAGTTAGAGGATTATAAAAAATGATCATCTGGATTAGTGTTTTTAATTCAAATGTTTATACATCTTTAACCACCAGAAGTAACAAAGTACAAATACTTCATCATTGTGCAATTTTCATCTGTATTTGTATTTTTTTTCTGACAACTTTTTTCTTTTACTTCCCACTTTTTAAACAAACATCTGTACTTCCCACTCCCATTTTCAAAACAGGTTTGTTACTTATGGTTTTATGCATTTATGGGGAGTTATTATTTCATCACTGCGCTTCTTCACAGTAACACATGAAAGGAAATCCTGTTTTTGTACATTATCCTTTAACTCTCACATCAATAATGTCACTCGCTCAGCATATTTCCAACTCTGTAACATCAATTGCCTCTGCCCCTTCCTCACTCCACATGCCACTGCTATCCTCGTCCATAGCCTCGTTAGCTCTCGGATCGACTACTGTAACTCACTCTCAGATCATCTCCTTTCTCTTTCTGTTCCTTCCTCTCGTCTTGTTTCTATGGGGGGCAGGGCTTTTAGCCGCTCTGCACCCCGACTTTGGAATTCCTTATCCCCTGACCTCAGAAACATCACCTCATTCCCTCTTTTTAAGTCCAACCTCAAAACCCACCTGTTTAAAACTGCCTACTCCTCATAACCTATCCCTGATATTAAACTTTCTATCTGCTATTCTTATTATTGTGTGTATTTCATGTTTTTTATGCCTGTTTTTATTTTCTGTACAGTATCCTTGGGTGTTTTGAAAGGTGCTTTTAAATAAATAAAATGTATTATGATGATTATGATGATGATTATGATTATTATTATTATTATTATTATTATTATTATTATTATTGCATTTTTTTAAGAGGCAAAACCATGTGTAATAGTCGGGGGTTACAGTAGGCTGTTTTTTTTTATGGGTTTTTTGGCACTTTGTCAGACGTTTTTAAGTGTCAGATAATTTGAAATGAATCGTACTTATCGGAAGAAGGGTTAGAGTTAAAGGTAGGGACTGCTCAGTGAAATTTTAATAAACTGGAAATTTAAAGCTTACATGTAAGTCTTATTGTTTTTAAATCAGACATCAGGTCTGTACACATGAAGTTATGTTATTCAGATTGTGAAACCTGCTTCAAACAAACTGAGGTACCTAACTGTGTTTCTTAAAGGTTGCATGAAAATCCACTGCAGTTTAGTGCAGATTAGACAGGTTAGTTTGGTGTATTGTGATGGATTTATAGTAAAGAACAGTGTGCGACTGGTGCTCATTATCAGAGAGGTTGCATAAAAGGTATTAAAGATGAATTTGAAATTAAGCAGATGATGGTTGTATAGTGTATCATATTAGAAAGCATAAACAGTGTAAAGAATATAAATTAGCAGTATTAACACATCTGCAGACATCTTGTTGAATTCAAATCCACAAAGAGCAGCAGGTACATTAACTCTGTGATATTCAAAAGATAATGTGTACCTTTTGCAGTATCTTCCAAGTCGTGGATTGTTTCATAGATGTGATGATCACCTTGACAAAGATAATAAAATCAGAGTCAGAGTTTCATTTCAATACATTTAAAATAATTATTTATATTTCTAACTGCTGTGTGCTATTCAAAAGATCCCATGTACCATTTGCAGTGTCTTCTGAGTGATGGGCTGTTTCATAGAGTTCATATTCACCTTAAAAAGACAAGGTCAGAGTATCATGTTAGAGTTTAATGCATTACAGCAATTAAATATTTTTGTGCAAAGACACCAAATTAATTTAACTTGATTTTTTTCCCCCTAACTTTTTGTGTTCTGGATTTTTGCCCTTGATTGATGGTCTTTGAAAAAAAGTTGACCAGAACTTTATGAAGACTAATTATTAATGCTAAACTTTGGTTTTATGACTGACCAGGGTGAAGAGATTTGTATTCATGGGTTTCATTCTGATTGTCTCCATGATTTCTGGTGGAGTCTTGACTGTTGATGTCCGACTGGATCGGCCTAATGAAAACATAACAAATGCACAGATAATAACATTGTGCAGAAAATTCAGAACAGTAAAAGAAAACACTGCTGAATGTTTAGAGTGAAAATAGGAA